CAGTTCCACTATTCATAGTTTTTCAGAAAAATCTTTTATTTCATGAAACTCCAAAGAAAGTAGTCTCATAGGTTTAAATCAGGACTATTCCAGAGCCAGTTCTGTCCACATGCGAAACTATCAAGCAATTGGTTTGAGATGACACGTGAGTCAAAAGTGTCACACCAAAAGTCCAAAACAACATTTGTTGTGTGTGGCTTGGCTCCATCCTGCATAAACCACTGAGTTTATACATTGTGTGTTCAAGTTCTAAGGTCTCCAATTTTTTTTCTCACACAATAATCATACAAAAATTTGAAACTTCTGTCACTTTTCAACGTAATCTCCCTGCAGCCATACACATTTTTCATGTCGACGCCATGATTCCATGGCCGCTGCGAACGCTTCTGTAGAAGTCTGTTTGGACCACTGGAAAATTGCTGATGCAATAGCGACATGACTGGTGAATGTACGCCCACGGAGAGTGTCTTTCATCATTGGGAAAAGCCAAAAATCGCTAGGAACCAGGTCAGGCGAGTAGGGAGCATGAGAACCACTTCAAGGTTGTTGTCCAAAGAAATTGCTGTGTAGGAGTCTGTTTGGACCACTGGAAAATCGCTGATGCAATAGCGACATGACTGGTGAATGCACGCCCACGGAGAGTGTCTTTCATCATTGGGAAAAGCCAAAAATCGCTAGGAGCCAGGTCAGGCGAGTAGGGAGCATGAGAACCACTTCAAGGTTGTTTTCCAAAGAAATTGCTGTGTCGCATATGCCAAATGCTCTGGTGCATTGTCCTGGTGAAAGAGCACACGTGCAGCCTTTTCCGGCCATTTTCTCGCAGTGCTGGAAGGAGCTTGTTCTTCAAAACATCTTGGTAGGATGCACCTGTCACCATAGTGCCCTTTGGAATGCAGTGAGTAAGGATTATGCAATCTCTGTCCCAAAACATGGCCACCATCATTTTTTCAGCACTGACGCTTACCCGAAATTTTTTGGAGGTGGTGAGTGTGTGTGCTTCAATTGAGCTGATTGGCGTTTCGTTTCAGGATTGAAAAACGGCATCCATGTCTCATCCATTATCACAATTGATGAAAAGAAAGTCCCATTCATGCCGTCATCACGTGTCAACGTCGCCTGGCAAATTGCCATCCGCGCAGCCTTGTGGTCGTCCGCCAGAATTCTTGGCTCCCACCTGGAGGACACTTTCCGCATTCGCAGGTCTTCATGAAGTATTGTGTGCACAGATCCCACGGAAATGCCAACTTTGGAGGTGATGTTTTCCACACTCAATCGGCGATCCTCCAGAACAACTTTCTCAACTTGCTCGACCATGTTGTCAGACCGGCTGGTGCGAGGCCAAGCTTGTTTTGGTTCATTGTCACATGACGTTCGGCCTTCTTTGAACTGTCACACCCACGAATGCACATTTTTCACATTCATGAGACCATCACCACATGTCTCACTCAACTGGTGATGAATTTCAATGGGTGTCACACCATGCAAGTGGAGAAAACGAATGATTACTCACTGTTCTGGTAACAAAAACGTCGCCATTTTAGGTATCAAAAACACCCCTCACTTTCGCCGCCACCACTAGAGTTCTGTGTGCCATACAGTGCTGCCATCTCTGTCACGCATTCACAAAGAGTGCACACGTATTTTAAACTAAACTGCATGTGTCTATCTGCTTCCAGTCCTGAGAAAAAAAATCAGAGACCTTAGAACTTGAACGCCCCTCGTAATGGCAATCCACCTGTGGCAAGAAGGTGAGGCACAAAACTTTTCACAACATGCTTAAATAGTGTACACTGTTCACTGTCCTTTCAAAGAAAATTAGCTCCAGCAGTCCATGACTTGAGATGGTGATCCCCACTGTAAATATCAGTGCATGATGCATCTTATCATTAATTACATGTAGATTCTTTGACACACAAAATCATGCATTTTCTTTATTAACCACACTGTCCATGTGGAAGTGTGCCTCGTCAGAAAGCCAACCAAACATTGCTGAATGAAACCTCATTATTCTGAGTCCATTCAGGAAATGGCATTCTTTGATGTTTGTTTTAAACTTTTAAGTTCAGGCAATACTGTCATCATTTTGTACGGATACAAATTCTAGTCGCTTTTCAATATTCGTTGTCCCAGTCATCTGGATATCCCTAGTTGTGTTGCAGCCTCCGTTGTTGATTTCCTGGGGCTTCTTTGCAGTACCATGCTAACAGCATCAATGTTCTCTGGAGAACACAGAAGGCCAGCCATTATTAACCTGGTTATAAAATTTATTAATTGTTTTTAATGAAGGGCCCATTTCATTTGAAAATGGGAATTGAACCGCCTTGGTGTGATCATAGCACTTCTTGTAAGATTTGAGGCTTTCACGGCGGTGACTATGAAGAAAGCAGTCTTCTGGGATTTGGCACCGTGTATATGTGGTGTTAACCGACGTTTCGGAGGAACATATCGCCTCCATCTTCAGGGTAGAAGAAAAAGTATAAGAAATCTGCAAGCGACAAGACCGTGAGAACGGTAAAAGCAGACCGTTCTCACGGTCTTGTCGCTTGCAGATTTCTTATACTTTTTCTTCTACCCTGAAGATGGAGGCGATATGTTCCTCCGAAACGTCGGTTAACACCACATATACACGGTGCCAAATCCCAGAAGACTGCTTTCTTCAAATAACAACATTGTTTTTATGCAATGTTCTACAGACAGTCATTCTTCATCAGCCATCTTGTGTAAACTGGTGCATGAGTGGGAACAGTGTGGTACTAGCACTCTTGGGAAGATTGATAACTAATCTCCATGATCTACTGTAAATGTTGTCATGTTACAGAACATTGTTCATTGCATGCTTCAATAGTTAATACTAAGTCAAAGCCTGGGCCATGCTGTATATAGTTTACATTAAAATTTTCAAAGTAAACTTAATAAAGCCTGTTATTAGCCACAAGCCAATATCTGACATCAGTACAAGTTACCATAATAACTATGAGGGGCACGTGGTAGCAAAGTTGGTTGAGGCACTATTGCTACAAGCCGGAAGGTTGCGGGAACGAATCCCGATGAGGTCATTGGATTATTTCAATTACCTAATCCTTCCAGCTGCACTATGGCCCTGAAATCAACTCAGCCTCTAACAGAAATGAATTCCAAGAAAATTCTTGGAATGTTCTTGGGGGTATGGTGCTGCCACTGTGTAAGGCTGACAATCTTACTGCCATCTATGAGCTGATTGTCTAGAAAATGTGGGAACCTCAACATCTCATAACCCTATGGGCCTCCATGGCCTGTTACAGAGATACCTTTACTTTCTTTACTTTACTTATAGTAACTATTCAAGAAGCAAGGTTTTGAAATTCATAGCTATTTAAATTTAAATTAAAAGTTACATAGACCATATAATACCAAAATTAAGCATACATTTTGCAGTGACATGCACATTTGCTCTGGTAGAGAACTTCAGAATCATTTTACTTTTACTTAATTTCATTGTTATGTCATAAGGAGTAATCTGGGGCAGTAATAGCAAAGAATTTGTTTTGGAGAAGAAAATCATAAGTTGCCATAATTATGGTAGATGCTACGAGAAGTGATTCATGTACAGATAATTAGAAAGTTTCACAGATTTTTATTTGCCTGTGAATACATGTTTTGTTTATTGCAGTTATAGTCAGTAAATTAGAAATGTTCCAGGCAAATTCAGGTGACATACGTGTGATTTTCACAGCTCAGTTCTGGCTTTACAGTGTATTGAAAATATATTTGTTGTACAAAAATGAAATTGTAGCACTCACCTCCCACCCAAAATTAAGTAGCAATCCTTTATATACAGCAATTTGAAGTATAATTAAAAGAAATCCTTTTGACTCCACTTTTCTTCTTTGATGAAGTAGTGAACTTTAAGTAATTAACACCATTTTGTTTATATGTGTGATCATAATTTCTTCTCTTATGCCTGGAGAAGCCTCTTACAGATATTTCAAATCAGAATCGTCATGTTCATTTTTGAGGTCCTCCCAAGCTTCTTCCTCTTCATTTACATGTTAAGACCTTTTTTTGGAATTTGTTTATGCTCATTTTGACATATTCTTTCTTCTTCTGTAATCTATGAGTTTTGTTTGCTTACAGAATTTATAGTTCCCTTATAGTTTCTGCATTTCTTTTGTGGCCAGAAAGGGTGTATTCCAGAGTCCTCATGAAACATATTTTTGCTGATATCAGGCTTATCAGTTCTTCTTGGTGTTCAGATTCACTTCTGTAAGATAATGTTCTAACTCTGTAATGGTGAGAGGCTACAGCCATGTTTCATGCCTCTGTTAACTTCTCTTAATTATTTGTATGTATGTGATATTGGAACTTGTTTAGGTTACAGGCTCTTATATATAAGTAAGTAAAGTTGTCCCTGTACCAGGCTGTGAAGGCCCATAGGGTTGTGAGATGTTGAGGGTCCCACACTATCTAGACAATCGGCTCAAAGATGGCGGTAAGGGTGTTAGCCTTATGCGCTGGCCGCACTTTACTCCCCAGGAAAATTATTTAATTAATTCCTGGTACTCATTTCTGTTAGAGGCTGGAAGGATTAGGTCAAATGAAAAAAGTCCAATGACCTCATCAGGAATTGAACCTGTGATTTCCAGCTTGTAGCATAGCCCCTCAACCAACTATGCTACCGCGTGCCCCCGACTCTTATACATATGAAACTTATAGTAAGTGTATAGACTTATATGTGTAAATTTAAACATATTCTATTTATTGTATCTTGGGCCAGTTCTAAAGTTACAGGCTTTAAGTTTATTATCAATGGTGAACAAACTTTGACTCTCTTCAGCAGTGAGACAAAAAAAAATGTTTGTGTGTGAACCTGTTTGTCTATTGGTTGGTCTGTTCACACATTTCTTGAAGCCTTTATGAAAGTAAAATTTCTGGTTTCTCATATTGCATCATTGTAGGCTAACTCCATAATTTTTACTACATATAAAGTTGGCAACTAATAGTGTAACTTTTTTTCATTGCAGATGAAAAAACGAGCCCTCAAAGTAACTGCTTCCATCTACACTGGATTATTTAATGCATGTGCTAATAGTCCATGGTCTGATGATGGTCTTAAACGTGCACACCATTTGCGAATGCTGATGTTTGAAAAGGGTTATGAACCAAATGTTTCTAATTACCATGCCATGATTAAAGGTTTGAGTATTGAACATACATTCAACAGTCTATGAACATCCACATATAGTACTTGGGTGAAATGTATTATTCAGTTAACTGTGTCATTTATATTCATATATTTTTTTCCCATTTTAGCATTTGGAAGATGTGGAGATCTGTCAACTGCATTCACTTTAGTAGATGAAATGACAGAGAAGAAGGTTGCTATTTCAGATGAGACATTCAATTTCCTGCTGCAGGCTTGTATTACAGACAAAGATGCAGGCTTCAGACATGCTTTATTGGTATATATAAAACTTAACTGACAACTTTTTTATTCACTTTCCATTTTGTTTATGATTATGAGGAATTGAAATGTCATGGCTACTCTGAAAATGAGTAGTGTTTCATAACATGCTGGTTTCTGAAGAGTGTGGTTGACTGGGTTTTAATGCTCTGTAATTCAAACAGAATCTGAGATTTCAGGGGAAGATGTCACCACCTTAAAGGTAAAAGAAACTGACAAGCTTTTTTTTTCTGCTTATGATGATTTCTTGTTTGAGTTACTTTTTTACCCTGAAGATGGAGGCGATATGTTCTGCCAATACTTTGGGCTCTTTCTGAAGTACATGATCTTATGTCCCAGAAGGCCATTCTTTTCATAGTCACTGCCATGAGAATGTCAAATCCATGCTAATTTTTGTATCTTTAGTGATTCTTAGCATCCTGCTGAAACCCTATAGACCCTCATGTCAGCTGCTCATTGGAAACAAAAATGATTGTAAATTAAAAGAGTGGCATTCCATATATTATCACTGTTACAACAGAAAACGTAAGGAATCCTTTTCAGACTCTACAGTATAAAGTTATGAACTTTGCTGTTATAGTAGCCAAAGATACACCTGAAGAAAACTTATGTATTGGAAAGAGACCTGTAGTTGCAGTGTTCTCTCTGAATTTGGGGGGTAAAAGATGATATATTTGCGTAGTGTAGTTAGAATGAGACATCTCCTCTCTTTATTTAAATTGAAGATTCGTCAAATTCTTGAGAAACAAAAGTTACTTGATATGTTACTCATTCTCATTATCTGTGAGGATGTTATTAGCCTACTATCTTCATTTTGAAAAAATAAGAGCACACTTTATGTCATGAAACTTTGTATGCATAGTATGCCACCAGAGACCATGTTAAGGTATACTCCATAAATCCCTCCTATCATTAATACCAACATTGAAGCCTCTCAAATTGTTGATGTAATAAGCCAAATATTACTTGAATGCCAGAACTGATCATCACAGAACATGGTGAACCCTTCTCAATGGATACTTTATAAACCCCTCTCTTCAGTGATGCCAACACTGCGGCCTTTGAAATTGTTAAGGTAATGAGCTTAATATTACTTGAATGCCAGAACAATTCTTTATGAAATTTGGTATGTATGTCATGCCACCAGAGCCAGTTTGAACCTTGTACTTATCAGCAAAATCAATGCTGCAGCCTCAGAAATCAGTGATGTGATGCCCTTAATATTACTTGAATTCCTGAACCAATCATCTCATATGTATCATAGCATATGAGGCCATTTGAATGGTATACGTCATAAATTATTCTTCTTAGTAATAGCAACAATGCAGCCTCTCAAATTGATGAAGTAATAACCTTGATATATTTGATTGCTTAAACTCATACCATGAAACTTGGTATGAAAACCATGCCATGTAAAGCAGTTCTAACAGCTCATCTCACATACACTTCCCTTTGATAATATGAATATAGGGGCCACACAGATTCTTCATGTGAAGCCATAAACTTGATTTTATCCAGACACTAGTTTCATGGATGTAAACCCATTAATGGGCCTCTATTGTATATAATGTCACATGTATACCCATTGCTAGGCAACAACCACAAAGTAAACAACTTTATAACAGCCATTGGTAGGCAATGGCTCCTCAGCAGACATGAATGCAACAATTCCACATCAACAAGATGATACAACAATAACAGGAAGCTGTGTTTTCTCTGCAGTCCATGCCAAGATGTTATAAGCAGGAGAAATTAGGGAGAAATCAGCGAAGTTAGTGAGGAGTTGGTTGGTGAGTGCGTGAGTTAAGTTAAAGGACTATTGCACTTCAGTCGTCTTGAACTGTTGCTGTGAGAAGCGGGTAGCTGAAGCCGGAGACCATTCAGGAACCAAGAGGAAGGGGAATGTCTGCCATTGGAAGCTGCTACCAAGCAGCAACTAGAGAAGATGTGACTGTGGACACTAGTGTGTGTGGAGAAGTGTAGTCGTGAGTTGTATCAAAGAGTTCAATATATCCAGTCATCAATCCAAACCTCGGCTGTAGTTACTCCATACATGTGACAATATTGTTGAAATTTTGCCCCATTTATATAAAATATTGAATTTATGGTGAAATGAAAGTAGGCAATTAGTTCATCCAGAACTTCTTGTTATTTAGAGCTCTATTGTAATCTTAAACCAGAATTTTTTCAAGTCTCTCTAACTTTGACTAGAAAGATTATAACAAAATGTATTACAGAAATTCTTAAGTAAATCTTGCCAAGATCATATTTTGGGTGACATCTGTTTACTTTTACTACATTAGTTATGTCAGGCAGCATAACTGATGTTTTTTGTTTAAAGTGTATGCTTTATACAGCTCTAGGTAGGGCTAATCGCATGCTTCCTTTTTATTACAGATTATTTATTTGATATGACAAATGGGGTGGTGCTTAATTATGTGCACATAAGAAAGAAGTAATAATATTAAGGGTATCGTTCAATGATTAGTGTGCTGCAGTGTAGATACTGCTGATGAGAGGGATTTGTGAAGTATGTTACTGAGATTGGCTATGGTGGCATGTAGACCAGTTGCTAGGCAATGACCACAAGATAAGCAGTTGTATAGGGTGGGGTGCAGAAACTTCCTTTTTGTGAAGACACATTGTGAAGGGATGGGAGGTTGCAGAAAAGTGGGGATAGGCTCGGCAAACACAGCAGTCGTGGAAGTTTCTGTCTAATACCCCTCAGTAGGAAACATGAGGTGGATGAGTGAGCAGCGTGCGCTTGCTGTCGAAGCCTATTTTTCGAATAACCATTCCTATGTGGCGGTGCAGCATGTGTTCCATACTCACTTCGGAATAGAGGTCTGGTTCCCAACCAGGAATCGATTGTTTTGTGGGTAGAGAACTTAGGAGAACCAGGAGTGTGGTGAAAAAATCATCAGGATGACAACAGACCCTTATGATGCCAGAAAATGTGGAGGCAGTTCAACACTCGATTTTGAGATCTCCGAGACGCTCCGTTCGCAACATGCAGTCGCCCTGGACATATCCAGTCGTTCAATGTGCCGAATTCTTCACACACCTCTTAATTTCTATGCCTACAAGATGGTTATGCAAGAATTGTCACCACGTGATTTCCAGAACCGAATAACGGGGTGCGAAATGTTATTGGAAACATTACCCCCCGACGCACTTGTTTTCTTTAGTGATGAGAAACATTTTCACCTATCTGGATATGTCAGCAAGCAGAATATGCACTATTGGAGTGGTAACAATCCCAGAGAGCACCATGAGAGGCCACTTCACATTGATAATGTGACAGTATGGTCTGCGTTGTTGAGAGTTGGAGTTATTGGCCCTTAATTTTTTGAAGAAGACAATCATGCAGTTACACTGTCAAGTCACAGTGGTATGTGGACATGGTTAAAAACTTTTTCGAACCAGCTCTTGAAGAAATGCATCTAGGAAATGTCTGGTTCCAACAGGATGGTGCCATGGCCCACACAGCCTGAGCTTTGATGACAGCTTTGAGGGGAAAATTCCCTGGACGGCTCATCTCGCTTCAAGGTGACATTCTGTGGGCAGCACACTCACCTGATCTAACGCCCTGTGATTTTTTATAGGGATACCTCAAGGCAGAGGTTTTTGAACACCAGCCGAAGAATGTTATTCAGCAGGAAGTAGCCAAAATTCCGGTGCACATGTTGGAACGTGCAGAGGGGAACTTCAGAAAACGTTTGCATCAGTGCATAGAGAACGGTGGCCACCACCTTTAAGATATTATTTTTAAAACTACATGATTTAAAACTCTAAAGTATGTTCTTTCATTAGCTAAACATAAATTTTGTCTATCAGCAATAATTTTTCTTCAATTCGCCTTCAAAAAAAGGAAGTTTCTGCCCCCCACCCTATGCAACAGCTGTTCCTAGATAATGGAATTGTAAACAACAACTGTTGCTAAGCAATGGCCATAACACACAAGAATGGTGTAACTGTGAAGTGGTGTTCTTAATGCAGTCTGTGATAGCTGTGTTATCCAACAATAGAAGAACTGTTGGGCAGTGCTTTCTGTGTGGTCCATGCTGAAGTGTTATAAACAGGTCATGTCCAGAGTATAGTTAATTTTGAGACAGTCATCAGCCACTGAGGACATGAACACAGAAGCTGAGGAAGCTGTTGTATTGGAAGCCATTACCTGACAACAACCAGAGAAGATTTAGTGCATGCTATAGTGAATTGTAGAGTGTGTGAATTAGTTGTAACACTATAGTTACTTGTAGTTACGATATGTGTTAGGCATTAAGAAGTTGGTGGGGATACACTTACAGACACACAGCAAGGTGATAAGTCTACTTTTATTTTTTTCAGAATAAGGAAAGTACCAAAAAATTATAAAATGTTACTAAAAGTTTACTACAAATGAAAATTCCATGAAATTTGGTTTATAGGTGTGGAGAAAAATGTTACAAAAAAAAGTGAAGCCAAACATATTCACATACAATCTCTTGCTTCGATCCATCAGGGACTGTGGGCTTGGAGATATTGATGTTGCCCAGGATGTGTTTCATAGAATCACTGGGGAATACAAGATACATGAATGCAAGGTTTTCAAGGTAAACAATTATATATATTTTTTTGTGTTCTGCTCTTCTTCATATGACAATTCCACTTTTATGTGGGTCATCCTTATGTCTGTGATTTGCTAAATTCCTCACTTTCCTTTTTGTGTGTTCTGCTCTTCTTCTTCTTCATATGACAATTCCACTTTTATGTGGGTCATCCTTATGTCTCTGATTTCCTAAATTCCTCACTTTCCTCCCATGTTCTTCTTTCTGTGTGACAACTTTCCTAATCTATGTTTCCATCTTTATATCTGTGCTTCTCCTTGGCATTTGTGTTTTATAGTCAAAACCTGCTTTGGGATATTCCCTTCATGTTTTAGTGTAATGTGTATGTTTATTGAAATAGTCCTTTTATCTTTTCAGTTTAACTAAATTTTTCATGTTACAGGCAAGACCTTTGCTGTCTGCAGGAAATGAGGATTTAGTGCCGCAGTCACGGTATTCAGCATGGGAAAATATAACAGAAGAGGTTTCATTACACGAAGTTACCACACATGTTGAGGATCGTCCAAATCTCTTAGCAGTTCGACCTCACTTTGGGAATATTATTGCACTCTCAGAAGTTAAAAAGCCTGAGGATAGGTACAATTAAATCTTCTTTTTCCTTTGACATATCATGTTCACTTTTATGAGGGTCATCTAAACCACTGTATCAGATCTTACATAATTACTGTGTTCACATATGTAGGAACATAATCATGAATAATACTTACTTACTTACTCATGTAGCTGAGCCCTTCTGAGGAGCTGCCAATTCTGCAGCTACTCAAGAATTTCCCAGCATTTTATGGAAGCCAAAGGTTCATTACCGTGTTCACGAGAGCCCTCCGCTGGTCCCTATCCTGAGCCAGGTCTATCCAATCCATACCATTCCATCCTATCTCTCTAAGATCCATTCTAATATTGTCCACCCACCTATGCCTTGGTCTTCCCTGTGGTCTCTTTCCTTCAGGCTTTCCCACCAATATCCTGTACGCATTCTTCGTCTCCCGCATTCGTGTTACATGACCTGCCCACCTCATCGTCCTTGACTTGATCATTCTAATTATACTTGGAGAAGAGTACAAGTTATGAAGCTCCTCATTATCCAGTTTTCTCCGACCTCCTATCACTTCATCTCTCTTCAGTCCAAATATTCTCCTCAAGACCCTGTTCTCAAACACCCTCAGTCTATGTTCCTCCCTTAACCTTTAACGGCCGAATGTTATAATTATTCGCATCAAGTAGCACCCCGAGCTGGCCGAATGTTATAATTTTTAGGGACAAGCCACGTGCTTCCTTTGTGAGTGCTGGCAGTTTGACCTTGGGTTTGAAACCCAAACAAACTCATGAACGTTCATGTCAGATGTTTATTTGTTAGCTCTGAACAATGAAATCGTTTATCAGGGTACTGGTTTCGAAACTATTTACGTTTAGATATGACTGTTTATGACCTGGTGAGCCAATAGAGGTCAGCTTTGTTTTGAGAAGTTAGAGGAGGAAATATTCGTAAGCACTTTCATAGCAGTGCTGCC